CCGCCCGCCACTGCGGTGAGCTTTGGCCTTAACGAAGGTTCGATTTGACGAAGCGAAAGCTAAAAGCTCAATAGCAAGCTCGCTAGCGCGCTCTTTCGTTAAGTTCATTTTAGCTTTATAGAATTTGAAATGAGAGTTGAGTTGAGAGAGACTTCATTATTTTCTTGATAACTCGTTAAAATGGTTTAAAATACAGAGAAAATAATGTATCCAAGAATTCTCATTTAAAAGCATTGTTATTTAAGAATTTGTCTGATTAGTTAATGACTCATACAGCTTTGGTAGTGTTGTAAAACTCAACATAATGCCAGTCACCCCCATGTGGCTATAAGACGTCACAGGTTTCTTCAACCCTCGCTCTCAGATACAGCACACAACCCATACAAAAAGTCTTCACTCCGCGTAGAGCGCCTGCGCCGGTTTAACGATTTCCAAGCGGACCCAACAGAGGTAAAGTAAATTACCTCTGAGTGGAACTACGCTGTAGTATTGTTGTTTTCGCCAAGCTGGGTCATTGAAAGTGGCAAAATATTTGTAAAGGTTTTGATTAAAAAGTAAGATAATAAAATAAAATAATACTGGATGATAAACACTTCCTATTTGAGAGTTGAAAGCTGCCAAAAAGTAATGGGAATGTAGAATAGAAGATGCATGCATGTATGCTTTGAAGAAAAACAAATAGATAAGAAAATTCTTGGTGTGATTCAATATATGGTATTAACGTTAATGGAATATATCTTTAAATGTGATTTTCCATAAGAACATTATTCAAATTAATCTTTCTACATAAAATACGAAGAAAAAGTAAAACCCAGTGAGTAACGAATTTCGCATACAAGTTTTGCGGGGGCTCTGATGATTCATGCGTGCACCCCCAGGCCCAGACGAGAGCACCCATATAACGCGTGTGTGTATGGTGGGGAGGGCATCTTCTCCCACTCTCTCGGTCTCTCTGTCTCTCTCACTCACTTGGTGGAAACCTCAAGTAATGCAAATAACAACAAAACCCAACCATCATCAGCAATACCTGGCAGCTGCTAGCCACCTACTGCCGATGAAAAGAGCATACATTTGTGCGCAAAATCGATGTACGAAAATTGTTCACGTGCCACAGAAAGTTGCAAAAGAAACACTTAAAGCCAGTCCATACAAAAAAGTTTTCCTACTGAACTTTTCTTCTAACAAATTGTGACTAATTGTTATTCCACACAGCTACACAGGAACTTCCAGAAGGAAGAACAATCTGAGAGAGGCTTAAGCCGAACCCGAATCCATTAAAAATGGCTGAAGAGTATATACCAGATGTAAGCATGATGGACACAAGTAAGTAACATATTGCAACTTTTTGTGGGGTATCCTTTCAAATCTTCTTATTAACCAAGCTCCTTTAAGAGTTGTGTGAAGTTTTTGAAAACTTTTTCGATTCTAATGAATAATTAAATGAGGAAGGGAAAAGGAGGAAACTTGGTTAATGTAACCTTTTTTGTTGGGTTTCCTGTTGGTACTCATATACATATGTGTAGATGAAGTATTTCTCTAATTTCTTTTCTATCTTTTTTGTTTTATTTTCTTTTAGTTGTGCCTGCCATATTGGGACTGACGGCAGCTGCAGTCCTGTCGTCGGTGGCCTGCATCTGTGCCAAACAGATGCGCATTCGGAACAAGAAGCAGAACCATCATGATGCCTCGTTCCCATTTCAACCGACCCGACGGCCGACTGCAGTTCGTTCGCCCAGCGGCCAGCCACCACATTATCTGAAGAAGTCTCCATCGCCAACGAACGGCAAGCAGATGGGTTTGCTCTCGCCCATGCAGGACCAGTCGACCTCACCGATCGCACCACCGAATATGAAATACACCGAGGAGGATGAAGTACCCATGCAGCAGGACCAACAGCAGCAACAACAGCAGATGGCGAACAAGCTGACGGTTGTGGATGGGAACGGGATGAAGCAGTCGCTGAACAATCATCACCGCTCGCCGGTGGAGACCATTGTCAATGGGAATGTGACAATCACTTTGGACGACCAGGCACTGACCAACGGAAAGGAGCTGGTGGTGACCGATCAGTATGGAAAACTGGGAACCATCTACTTCAAGTTACGCTATCTTGCCGAAAGGAATGCCCTGATGGTCTCGATCATTCGCTGCCGTGGATTGCCCTGCAAGGGCGGATCGGGGGGCACTGGCGACATACCCACTGGCATGAACGGACGCACACAGGCGGCCACCGATCCCTATGTGAAGCTGCAGCTGTTACCCGACAAGCAGCACAAGGTGAAGACCCGCGTGGTGCGGAATACCCGGAATCCAGTGTACGACGAGGACTTTACCTTCTACGGCCTGAACATAAATGATCTGCAAAACATGTCGCTGCACTTTGTCATACTTAGCTTCGATCGGTATTCGCGGGACGATGTGATTGGAGAGGTGGTCTGCCCCTTGACCTCCATTGAGATCGGTGACATTTCCAAGGAGGCTCTCTCCATCAGCAAGGAGATCCAACCGCGCAGCTTGAAGATACGTGCCCAGGGACGAGGCGAGCTCTTGATCTCTCTCTGTTGGCAGCCGGCTGCTGGACGTCTGACTGTGGTGTTGCTCAAGGCCCGGAATTTGCCACGCATGGATGTCACAGGTCTGGCCGATCCCTACGTGAAGATCTATCTATTGTATAATGGTCAGCGCATTGCCAAGAAGAAGACGCACGTGAAGAAGCGCACTCTAAGTCCAGTATTCAATGAGAGTTTCGCATTTGATATTCCCGCTGCAGAGGTGAGTCAGAAAATACACCCAAATGAGGAGGGGAGAGTTTTACTCCACTCTAAATATGTGTATGTATTTTTGTTGACATTCCAGGGCACTGGCGCCAGTCTGGAGGGCGTCTCATTGGAGCTGATGCTACTTGACTGGGATCGCGTGACCAAGAATGAGGTAAGTTCAGGGTTAAGGTTAGTCTCTGACTAATGTCCCACTAATTGGTTGGTTGTTGGCATTGTTTAGGTCATTGGTCGCCTGGAGTTGGGTGGACCCACATCCAGCAGCTCCGCCCTGAACCACTGGAACGAGGTGTGCAATTCCCCACGTCGTCAGATTGCCGAGTGGCACAAACTAAATGAGTAAATGAGATGCGTGCAAACAACCACCCAGCCTGAAACGAGTGCAGCCCCGGCGCTGGCGCCACTTTCGGACTAAAGAAGTGAAGAGAAGCAGGGAAAAGGGACTCGAGAGTCATACGATTCATGAGTATGAGCTCGGTGGCTATTAATTTATGATTCGTTTTCTATATAGCGTATATATTCTTTTTTTTTATTTGTTACGAATTTTGTTCCCTTCAAGTCGCTTAAGTTTGTATGCAAGGCATACACCCAAGAAGAGATGGAGCAGAATTATGATATTACCAAAGCCCAAAGCCCAAAGCCCAAAGCTCCTAAGTAAATTAAATGTATTAGAAAATGTTTAGGACATAAAAATGCATGTAACTGTAAGATATTTCCAGGACATCGTAATAAATATATATATAAAGGAAACAGGTTAACCTACGTATAATGGACACCGGTTATTTTGCTGTATAGAACACGAATTCTCCGCTTTTTAAACCTCGATTCGTTGCCATTGTTTTCCATATCAATCAAATGAAGAATACCCATTAAATGTGCCCACCATGAAGACATTTGCATTGAGCAACTAAATTTGATTTTCATGCTAAGAAATATTAAACCCAGGCATATACATATGTATAATATATTTATGATACAATACACCTAACTTTTAAGCATAAATCTTTATGTTTTGTTCTCACTGTTCTTTTTTGCCGGCATTCTTTTCAATTGTAAAGAAAAAATGATCCGAAGCACACAGCAAAAATCAGCAATGCACAGACCGAAAGCTCTCGAAGTGTGTCCAGATTGTAGATCCAAGAAAAAATGCTTACTGCTTAACAATTTATACGTACACATTCGTAAAAAATGAAAAGATTAATGATTAAAATAGATGATGAAACCTAATTGAATCTAGAGACGAACACGCAGCTGAATGCTTAGCACCAAAAAGATACAAAAATCCACACACCCACAACAAACAAAAATCGAAGGAAATTCACGAAGAGAAACCAAAAACACATAACGATACAATACTTTAAGATAAATACATAGGACATGTAGAAGCAAAAATATACTTATAACATACAAATGTACTCTAGAGTACACAATCCACGAATAGCTCAACAAAACCGAACGCAATAATCACTCGAATGTGTATCTAGTGGCATTATTTATAATAATCCCATCGCACATACTCAAAAGATGAAAAAGCATAGCTTGAAGAAAATGCAATAGACACTCACTCACACACACATTATCCAGCGTACTGAATGCAAATTATGAAAGAATACTACCCATAATAAATAGATCTTTACAGACATCAGGCTGCGCTTCTACGTCTATTTTGTAAGATGATTGTTAGAGCCTGAAATTACAATTACGATATCCCATTCTGGTATATATGTAGGTACATTCTTACATAAAGATATTCATACAACTCAAACTTTGTGTCCATTCAAAACTTCAATTCGTCTAAACGGGAAAAGAAAACAATAATTATGGTGGCATTAATCAATTCATTTGTCATGGAACACACCAACTTATATATGAAATGTGTATAATTCTACATTATATGTAATAGTAATTGTAAGCAAAACAAACATCAAATGGTTAATTTCAGTAAATAAAAAACATATTATACAAACTACAATTGAGTTGCGTATTGTAATCAGTACAGGTATTTTCCCATTTACCAATGATTTATTTGTTTGTGAGCATATATTCTACATACTATACATATTTACATATGCATTTTCTCTACTGATAACAAACAGATTCCATTCCAAGACGCGTTCTCATGTCTTCTTATCAGTTCGCTTTTAGCTCCTGTATCGATCGGTCCAATAATATTGCCTCTCTGTTGAATTTTGTATAGTATTTATTTTAGATATAGCTACGATATCTGAGATATCTGCTATGACATTGGTTAACGTTTTGGCATTTATTTTTCTGTTAGGTAAGGCCTGGAATATTGCAAAGTGTTGGTGAATATCTTGAGTTGTCTTCTTGAATACCAAAGGTTATCATTATGCGGTTAATGGCAGCTTGCATATATGTACATAAATAATTGCCATTGGTAGAGGGAGAGCTTTCTGTGAAGGAAATTATTTTATATTCTTTTTCTTTCAAGGACTGACGCTCGGTTTTCAATGCATCACAAAAACTAAGGTACCCTTGCGGGAGACTCAGATATGCAATGGAATTGTTGACTGCGTGGATAAAAGCGACGAAATGTTTGAGCTGTGCTACAACAGAACATGCAATGAGGAACATTTTTTCCGTTGTACTTACGGCGGCTGCTTGGAAGTCATGAGAAAATGTGATAATACCATTGACTGCTGGGATTCCAGCGATGAAAATAAACTGATATGCGAGGAGGATACAGATATGTGGTACCAATTGTACGATGACTTACAGGGAGACTGCGAGTGAGTCGGTTTGGGGATCTATCTATCTATCTAATTATGAATGATTTCAGTGACCAATTCAATTGCGAGGAGATGTGCTTGGAGTGGAGTCAGGTGTGTGATGGCCAGATCGATTGTAAGGATGGCCGGGATGAGAACATCACTCTGTGTGCCACCATCGACTGTCCGTATCCAGCATTCAGGTGCCTCTATGGAGGCTGCATAAGTGCCGCTGCTTTGTGCAACCACATTCCAGATTGCTTTGATGGCTCCGATGAGCTGCCTGGCATATGTCTCCATACTATGGGTCAACATCCACCGCTCGTAGCTGACGGTCCGCTGGCAACATCACAGGTCTGGGAGGTGAGGCATTGCAGGCTAGAGGATCCATCGGGAGCCCTGATTGCGGAGAACTATGTAGGCAGCACCACCTACCGCAGCAATGCGACGGTGCGTGACCAGGCCGTTGTGACTCTCAGTTGTGGCCACGGACATGGTCTGATCGGTGAACAAAAGAACATTTGCGATGGCGATAACTGGCGATACGAGCTGGCCAAATGCGTGCCCCAGTGCCAACACACAGGCACTTTCCTGTACAAGGGGCAGTGTACCCACCAAGGACGTCTAATTGACTGTGATCAGGCCTTGCTGCCGATGGATACCCGAATGGTGGTGACCTGCGCCTCAGGCTATGAGGCGCATGAGAAGCCCGGTGTGCAAGTGTGCCATGGCAATGGCAATTGGGTCGTGGAGGAGGAGCTGCCCAAATGCGAACCCATCTGTGGTGTGTGGAAATTGAAAGACCAGGAACACGAGCAGTCATCCGACCCATGGATGGTTAGCATTTTTCAGCGCAGCCGTGAGCCTTTCTATGAGTATCGATGCGTGGCCACCATTTTGTCACATTACGTACTGGTGACATCGGAACAATGCTTTAGAAATAAACCGATCAAGGGTGCTCCATCCACAGAGCCAGTACTCTATGCAGTGGCCGAGGGCCAGGTCTACGGGAATTCTTTCTGGGCAAACGAGGAGCATAGCTACAAGCTGCACAATGTGTCTTACATACACAACGTCACGTAGGAGAGGAGAACCTTTGATTGAATGACTTGTAACTCTCTGATCTTTCAGGCGAAGTGATGGGAAAGCAGTTGGTGCCTTGGCTTTAGTGCACTTGATCCAACCCCTGGAGTTTAATGTGCGAGTGCGTCCCATTTGCCTGACTAACGATATGCCCAGAAAATGGCAGACCAATGGAGACTTCTTTGACGTTCCAGTGGGGAAGCCGATTGTACAACTCGATAACTCCAATCGATACGAACTAGCACAGATATATGCCAGCCAAACGGATAAGTATCACATCAGTGCCTTTATCGAACCCATACGAAAAGATATAGCCAAGTGCCAAGAGAGTGGAAACATTTAATTCACTTTATTATGGGTTGCGTTTTCGTGGTTAATCAGAAATCAATGTACATTCAACAGAAGGAAACACACACCTACTATTGACAATTATACTCGTGTATTGTATGTATGTTTAGGCATTTGTATTGGGTACCCATCGGTCATCATTCACTATCCACCGATCGAAATGCCACAAAAATGTTTAATGTTTCTATTTAATTAATAGTTCCGATTTCAATTCGCTATTCACGTTGCTGCTGCCTGGATCCATTCATTACATTGAGATTGCATTCTGGAGTTAAACACTATCTATTATAGGTTATTTGTTGTTAAATTTAATTTTAAATTTAAATTACAATTACTTTATTTAATATTAATAATACATTACATTTGATGTTGCTATACTCGTATATTAGATTTAGCTTTTAGTTTTGTTCTCTGCCATTTAGTATGAAAATTTATAGGACACATTCAGTTTGCTTAGTAACTGCTGTAAAAACGTTCTTTAAAATGTTATCTTCTCTCGCATCTATGTGGTTTGGGATTGTTTTTTCTTCTTTTAATTTTGATCACTTCAGTCTTTCCAAAAAGTATTACAACATCTCTATTTTCTTTTTGCAATTGCCAACATATAATTAGAAAATGTATTAGTTCTTTCAAAATAGTTTCAGTTTCTTGTATCTATCGCATAGTTCCATCTATAGTTGTAAACACATTCGATTTTCGTGAATTTGTTGTGTGTTGTGTTCTGTGCTCTTATATTCTTATGTATGTACTCGTATGTCTGTAGGAAAGGTTTCTTTCAGAAATCTTTCTGTATTCAATACACGGATACACCTAAACAAATATATATTCATATATGTATTTATGTATAGTACTATACTTGAATGTAAATTACGTTTTGGAATAAGTATCCTTTAGGTTCTATATGTATGTACATATATATCGGTTTTAGTTTGCAGCTGCTATTTGATTTAAGACTGCGAGATCCGTTTGTGCATTCGAATATAAATACATTTCCCTTCAATTCTTTAAAGTATTTACAAGTTTTGCAAACGACGAGGTCTGTCTGTGGGAAAGAGAACCAACATTTGGATGGTTTAAAGGATTCAGGGTCCACATGTGTACATATTTTTTAGAGTCGGGACATTGTATAAACTTAGGTATGGACGGTGTTATTTAAACAAGAATACGTATCGTTGGCCATTTACAGTGCGAGCTTATCCCAAACGTAAACTTAAACCAATATCTATTTAGATGTAAATGTAAGCTAAGCTACAAATTAATACTGTACAGGAATGCACGCCTCGTCAAATGATACAGTTAATTATAGCAACGTGGATAAGTACCAAACTTAAAAGTAGGACCCTAGCTACCCTTTCTCCTTGCCCGGACCCACACTCACGCCCAACAGATGTTCCCCAGCCATCAGACCCGCCGGCTGGTGCGCATAGTTGCGGATCTGATGCAGCGAGATCAGCTGGTTAGGGAACGCATTCGCATTGTTCTGGTTGACATTCTTATTCGGAAAACTGATGGCATCGTAGAGATAGGGTCGCTGGGCCATCGGATGGTGGCTCAGCGAGTTCAAGTGCGGCGGCATTGAGTTGATCGGCGTAAAGGCCGAATTGCTGGTGGATTTCGTTAGGGACGCGGCATCATATGGACCCACAGCACTGGGTGTGGACACTAGTTGCAAAAAAAGAGAAATATGGTATGATGGAATGCTTTCAAGAAATCCCAATTAAGAAAGAAGACTGTGGGACTTACCTATATCCTCCCTCACCGGATCGGGCATGCGATGATGCGCCTGCAACTCTGGTCCATGGCCATTGCTTTGGGCACTGTTTGGTGCCGTCGGCTGGACATAGTGCCCCTCCATGCTGTGCTGCGGTGGTGGCTGCTGCTGCTGCTGCGGATGATGATGATGCGGGGGCTGTTGCTGTTGCTGCTGTTGTTGTGGCGGGACATGTTGCTGCGGTGGAACTCCGTGTTGCGGATGATGGTGATGCGTCTGATGCTGCTGCTGCTGTTGTTGCTGTTGCTGCTGCTGCTGTTGTTGCTGCTGCTGCTGCTGTTGCTGTTGTTGTTGCTGCTGCTGCTGTTGCTGCTGGTGCATCACTTCCATGGCATTGGCAGCGGCGGCCGAGTCAGGACTCACCTTTGGCCAGTAGCTGCTCTCGCTGGGAGCTATCGAAACCGGTGGCAGTCCCAAATTATTGCGTTGGTGCTGGGCAGGATTGCTGGCCGTTGGTGGCACCGAAGAGCCCGCTCCTGAGCTGCCCGCGGCGGCTGCAGCAGCTGCGGCAGCAATGGCTGCTGCACTTCCCGGCACAATCGGTGGCCGCTTGTCGGTGCGCTCCGCGTGCTTCTGCATGTGCTTCGTCAGGTAGGTCTCCTGGGTGTACGACTTGCCGCAGTACTGACAAATGTGCGTCTTCAGATGCTTGGACTCCTTGTGCTTGGGTATGTGCTCCAGCAGCGAGGGCTCGTCCGAGAAGCACTTGTAGCAGGAGTTGCACTTAAACGGCTTGTCCGTCTGATGGCAGCGCGAGTGCGACTGCAGGTTCGAGAGCTGGGAGAAAGCCTTCTGGCAGCCGGGATGCCGGCACTTGTACGGCTTGTCGCCCGTGTGTGTCCGTATGTGCTGCTGCAGGTGCGACAATTGGGTGAACTTTCGCTGACAGATCTCGCAGCGGTACGGCTTAATGCCCAAATGGATTCGCGTGTGCTGCGACAGATACGACGAGTTGGCAAAGGCCTTTGAGCACTGGGTGCACTTGTACGGCTTGGCCTCCCTCATATGAATCTGCGTGTGCAACTGCAGATCCGCCTTGGAGCTGAAGATCTGTAAAAATCAGAGAAAAATGTAAAGTTATGGGGAAATGATAGCAGAGTCAGGGAATATTGTCGCTGTTTGCTGGAGAGTTTGAATTCTTAATACGAAAATCCCTATTTAAAATTGCGTTTTTCCCTCCCATCACCTTCGTATCCTTCACATCCATTTGCGTCATATGATGAGGCGAACTGGTGGAGGAGGAGATGCCGTTACCAGAAGCCGCAGCTGTGGGTACAACCCCTCCTCCGCTTATGACTGGTGCTCCAGGAACTCCTGCCACACCTGCCACTGGCACTCCTCCTGTGTTCTGACCATTCCTCTCATTGATGGTAGCATTCTGCATCCGTATGCCGCCATTGTCCACACTATTGCTGGTCACGATGATGTGTTGATTGGGATTGGGATAAATGCGTGACTTGCGACCACGTGTGGATCCCGTGGGAGCACTCCCAGTGGCCGTGGAGCTTCCGCCACCGCTGCTGCTGCTCACGACGGCATCGTTCACGTGCTTTTGGCTGTTGGAGCCCGTCACCGCGGAGGAGGGCACACCACTGCTCTCTAGAGTGGTTAAGCTCGGTTTTGGCTGCTGCACCAGTGGCTCCACTCCACCACCGCTCAGGTGGTATTGATGCTGTTGCTGCTGGTGTTGTTGCTGGTGCTGCTGCTGCTGCGGTGGAGGTTGATGGTGGGGCTGGTGTGGCTGTTGGCTATAGCTGAGAACGGAGCTCCTCAAGTCGGCCGTATTGGAGAAAACGCTAAGTGGCCCCAAGGCCACTCGCTCGTTCAAACTGTTTCGCAGATGATCAATGGATCTATGGACAGCATGAGAGTAGTCTCCGCCAGCGGGTGGTATCTCCCCAATTAGCGGAGAATTGTGATGGTAATCGAGGCCCCCTCCAATGGGACGATATTCTATTAGACGTCCTTCCATTTCACTTCTTATTTGATCACTTTTCTTTTGGTTTAAACGGATGTCCTTTTAATTAAATGTCTAATCACTTATGATAACTGCAAAAAGATTTCACTTTAAACAGTTGTAACACTTGGCGTATACATGATATCGAAGCATTTCCATAGTTGTTTGATTTACTGGAAAGCAAAAACACTAGACTCAATTTTAATTTGGGGCTACATTCAGCTTAAAATAAAAAAATATTTATAAAGAAATAAGATTGCAAAACAAAAAGTTTATGAACCTTTCCAGCAAATGCCTAAAAACTGTTTAATCCTGAAACATCAGGATCACTAATCCCTCACTTTGAAACGTCTTGATAGATCCATAAATATTCATGAAACTATTCTATCGTCCCTCTTTTTCGCCAGCATAATCTTCCCTAAAATTTAAAAATGTCAAAGTTAAAGTTTTTACAAGAAAGCGAAGCGTGAAAATGTTGAATATCTTTTAACTCTCTGTTGACATTTAGCCACAACTGCCAAAGCCAATATTAAATAAAGGGAGAATAGCAGAAAGGGGAAAAAATGAAGAAGAGAGCTGGGGAAAACCTGTGAGACGAGACCACAAAAACGCTTTGGTCTCGACTGGCTGCACCGCATAGCCGGAAAGGACTTTTTGTCTTTGCTTTTGTTTTCCTAAATCTAACGCTATTTTTTTTTCGAGTTCACTTTTTATTTCGCATTTTCAATTGCTCTGCCTGTTCACATTTTTTTTACCCACAACGCTTTTGGCGTGACGGAAGTATTTTTTCCATACGAATTTGACTTGTAGTTGACTTTTTAGCACGCGCTTTTCCGCTCTTTGCTTTTCTATTTTCTCTGCATTTTTTCATCTTTTTCTGCTGCCTTCGATTAGATTTTTTCTATATATTTGTATAAACGTTGGCGGAGCTCTCCCCGAGCACATTCAGACGCAGACATGCCGCAGACATCCTGTGGATTTTTTCCAGGTGAAAGTCGTCAATGGATGCGCTGTTTTTTGTTTTTCCATGTGCAATGCTCCAATTTGAGATTCTCTAGTTCTAAACGCGACAAATTATTCATTTATTTGGGGAGTATTTTATTTGTTTTTATTCCCATGTGTTCGTATTTTGTTCGTTTTTTATGTCGCGTTTAGATTGAAATTGTAGATGGAATTTTTTTGTGTCCATTCCCAACATTGACCTTGAACATGATTTTGTGGGCTAGATTTAGCATATTTCGAAAATTAATGAATACCAAAAACTAGATTAGTCAACAGTTTTGGCATTTGACATGCGGACTGGTGGGCGGACACATTTGCGCTTTGTTTTAATTATTACAAGTGTTAATGCATGATTAACAAATTATTTATGGAATTGAAATGCAGGAGTTGAGAGGTTCTCTGAGATTTAATTGACATGACAAAAAGTTGTGGAGGGAGGGAATCCGATTCCTGTGTGAAATATGTGAAATGTGAACAGAATTTTAATGAATATTCTTTTCGTTAAATTCCTCACATTAATTAATCTCTCTCTCTACATGCATTTATGTGAGTTACGGAGTTTTTTTAATAGATATATTTTTGCATTGCTTTCTAACGATATGATTCTTGTAACATGTCTCGATCGTAGCGGTTCGTAGCAGTGATCTACATATGCCTCTTAGGTAAGACATTTTTCATTAAATTTTAATCCCATAATCTATTTCCATACTTTATGTGGACTCTATCGCTGCACTGGTATGCGACTTTTTACCTCGTTTATTGGAAAGCTAAATATTGAATTTTTTTGGACACGATTTGATTTATACATGTTGCAGGCTGAGCAAACATTAAGTGTGTGGGAAGTATATAAGCGGATTTGCGTGTACATAATGTAACCCAGGCCTAAAACAAAAAAGACACTGCATAAATATCACAAAAATAAAAAAGGAAAAAATGCATAAAACTGGGGAAATTATGATGCTCCCTGTCTGTGTCTGTGTTTGCATTTTCATTGGGGTTTGGGCTTTGGGGTTTTGCTTCGGGTTTGAGTTCCTTTCGGGTTGAAGTTTGGGGTCTGTGGGGTCTTTTGGGGTCAGCAGGGTTGTGTTAATGCGTAGTTTGGGGCTTTTAACTAATTAACATTTAGCGGTTTGGCAATATTTTCACTGGGGTTCTTCGTCCCCATTCATATCGTCCCACACACACACTTTGCATGAGATGTTATTAATTGAAAAATGTGTAAAAAATTTGCGCGCTCTTTTATTATTCATAATTTTTTGTTGTTGTTTCTGGTTTTTGTTTAATTCTGATTAATGCATTTTTCACACTACTCTTTAGGTTTTTGTATTAAGTTGTGTCGACCAGCATCACTAGAAATATTTCCGTTTTTTTTTCCTTTTTTTTCACCTTTCCTGCCGTTTTTTTGTACACAGTTGATGAAAAATGCATTGGCTTGATGTTATGCGATATAGTTTTTTTATATATTTTGTTGTTGTTGGTTAGTGTCCTGTATCCTTTTTTACATCACTGGTTTCTTCAGCATTTTAATGATATTTAATTTCACATTCGCCATTGGAGTTTGTTTTGTCTGCCTGTTTGCACTAATCATTAATTAATTTCACATCACTTAAAATATGCAATTAATATTCCGCGTTGTCTCTTAATTAAAAATTATGTTTTGCAGCCTATTAGAAGCGTACGCCCGTGGCTCCTTCGTGGCTCCACTCTGCTCCGATTTCCGATGTTCCGATACCCGCGTAAACGATGTGCACGCCGCGCTAGTCTTTGATTAACTGATCGCTCCATCGAATCTCGAGCATCGAATTCAGAACGAAGGCAGAACAGGGAATAACGAACAGCTGGCCAAAAGGGTTTCACTAACTTTGAGCTTTTGGGAATTCTCTGGGCAGCCGTTTATGGCAATCACACAGCTCTGCTCTTGCGGTGGGCCTCAGAAAGATCTTCTCAGCATATCAAATTTCGCATCGAATGCCCGAAAATCAGGCTGGACCAGCTCCGGAATCAGGTGTTTGTGCTGCCCAATTAGCTTCAAGTTGATTGGATCTGCCATCAGAGCAGATAACTCGGGTCTCGAGTCAGTGAAGTCAACTAGAACAATATTTGGTCATCGAGCTTAGGGGATTATACCCACAAGAGTTTGGGTAAGAGACAAGCCAACGGGTTTGATGTTTGGCAAGAGTTTGAGTTGGGAAATGGTGAGTTATCGAGCTTTGGAGATCAAAAACGTATAGTGAATACTTCAATTAAGAAAGATACTTTCTAAATGTGAAGAAAACTCAAAAATGAGCGAAACAAAGAAGGAAATCAAGAAGCTGTGCAATGATAAGGAAAGGCTATCTAACTATTAGTCAGCAGCGTGCCTTTCATTAGTATGAACTCAAATAAAAATGCGCAACAAATAGTTAAATCAATTAATTCATTATTTTAGCTTTTTGAACTAATAATTCCCAAGGCTCACTGAAATCTGCGACATACAATTTTTAAATTTCATCACAAATTTGTATGTTTAAGAAATGGTTCTGCTGTTTCTACGCACAGGCGGCATTGGCTGCTGTGAGATTTATCCTGACCTTGATATTGAACACAAGAAACAGCTGATATGCTGTACAAACACAGACGCACAGACACACAGGGCACAGACGGGGAGACCGGCGAAGTACATTTATTATTTATATGAAAAGCCCGCCAGCTACCTCACACACACTCACAAGCATATAAACACACTCGCACACACATATAAACAGAGTGTGGAAAGCAAAACAAAGCCAGCTGCTGGCTGCTTGACTTTCTTCTTAGCTTCTGCACGTGACGACGACGACGATGCCAACGACCAAGACAAGGACGCATTGCGTTTGAAAAACTCGCGTATCCTTAAGATATACACACATACACATACAGAGATGCCAAGGAAAAATCCACACACACAAACCCCCCTAACGCGTTTGATATTTTTTCTTGGCCAAACAATAAATAAACACACACTGCAAAGAAATCGAATGGCAAGAGCGCGCTCAAGAGTGTGAGAGAGCAGAAGGCAGAAGCCGGAAAATGTCTAAAAGCGCGCACACGTTCCAACGGAAACGGAAACCGAAACCAAGCTAAGAAAAAAATCGTCTTTCTTTGCTGTTGTTGTTGTTGTGTTGCCTTCTTTCCTTGCGGCTTGCTGCCTCCACTTTTTCTTTTGCTGCTACTTTTTCTTAATGCTGCCGCGAGCAAGAGGTAAAGAAGTACGGGAAGGGGAACGGAGCCGGGGCGGGTGTGGGTCCAAAGACTTTAGCCGTGGAAAGCGTTTGTAGTGGTTACTGTTGTCATTGACGGTCTCGGTGTCGGTGTTGTCGGTGTCTCGGTCTCAAGGAACATGTTGCGCACACAGAAAAAACTAACAGCAGACTGAAAGAAATGTTGTTGGCGCGCCTTTGGACGGGTCTTTAGGACGAGCTTTAGCGAGCGGCCGAGCGGTTTTTGGAGCAGGCAGCGCGTGCCGGAGCCGAGAGCACGATCCGTCACCAATGTAAAAACTCAACTAAAGCGATGATGAAAAAATCTGAAACAATATATTTTTGGGGGGCGCCAGCACCAGAACACACACACACGTACACATAGAGAGATGCAAAGCGAGGCGGCAGAGAGCTGCTGGCCAAAGCATCGACAGGCCGCAGAAAGCAGAAGGCAGACAGACAAAACGCGCACTAACACCAATGCAGTATTTCAAAACGCAGCAGCAGAGTCTGTATGTGTCTGTGTGTGTGTGAGTGTGGGTGGGTGGGTGGCAAGGTGGGTGGTGTGGCGGCCTGGCTTACTAAAGGCCGCCGCCGGCCGACACAGACAACAACAAGAGCAGAGAGGCAGCAGCTTCAACAGAAGGGGCAGGCAGCATCATGGGGCGAAACCCCACTCACACAAACACAATCAAGCGGTAAAAAAAAAGCGGCGGCCGCAGCAGCAGCGGCAGCAACAACAACAACAAACTAAGCGAAAGGAAAAAAAACAAAAAAAAGTACGCCACACGCACACAGAGGCAAAAAAAAAGTTTTGGTTGCATAGGCGGAGGCAGGCGGCAGCGTCGAAGCCAGCGCCACTGCTGGCGCTATTCAAATGCTGCGAAGCCGGCAGCGCAGCCACCTGCCAAAGCAGCAGCAGCAGAGCGCCAACATTGACCCAAACCCAAAAAGGAGGAATGGGAGGTGGAGGGGGGCTCTAAAAAACGCGGAAAAAAATTGTGTAAAAAATAAAAAAAGGGGAATTTTTGCGCCGGCGACAAACCCACGCACACACACAGACACACAAAGAGAGAGAGAGAGAATGAGTGAGTGAGAGAGAGAAAGAGAGAGAGAGAGACACCGACATGCCAGTACACTCATACAAGTGCAGGGGGAGAATTTTTTCGCTGTTAGCCTTTGCCGCCCCAAATATCCTGTCTGCCCAGGCCCCCACTCCACCCATTCGTTTTTTGCATTTTGTTTTGTTCGACTTTGATGCGAGCGCTTGGGTATTTTTTTATTGAGAGAGAGAGAGAGGAGCGAACAGAGCAAGAAGGAGAGGGCGACACCGAGAGAGAGCGAACACTTTTTGACTTTGCAAATTGTGTTTTGGTTTTTGTTAATGCCATTTTTTTTTTGGTAATTTTTTTAAGCGCTGGTCAACAATTATACGACTTTTTTGAGGTGATCAATTTGAAACCATTTGGTGGCAAATTAATCAAAAACGTGCCCCTAGTAAGTAGGCAGAGCTGTCTGGCTGTGGATGAAACTGTGGATGCCTCATTTCTGTGGTTGCGCTTTCCAGCACTCAATCAGTCTGGGGAAAAAGGAATGCCCCAAAACAACTTGAGAGCAAATGCAAATGCAAAATAAAAGAGACCAAACAGAACAAAATGGAATGGAAAAGGAGGAAGCAGCCCTCGCACACACGAGCACACACCTCAGGCAGCCTCCGCCCTGACCTAAGCCACCGCGTTGGCTTAACTGCCAGCAGCAACCACCTCACATCGAGCATTCAGCCACCCACTCACCCATGCAACCCACTCTCCCAAACTCACACTGCCCCTTCTGCTGACGTCGACTCTGCGCTTGGGTCTGACGTAGTCGACGTTGCTGCTGATGCTGCTGCTGCTGCTATTTCTAAGTTATTTTTTTCGCATTGCAACCTTGCCTCAACTTCTTCTCAGCCTACAACCCCATACCACTCCACCTGCTCTCTTTCTCTCTCACTTTGCACATTTTTTCCAGAATTTTTTTACATTTCCATTCGCTGTGCATTTTTTCTCGCAGCCGCCCCCTTTAGTTTGTCCCTCTCTCTCTACCTGCTTCTTTCCCCTTTTTTTTTTCTTGCCACAGGAAATACATTTTTTCCTTTAGCTCATGCCATCCCGCTTGCACGCGTTGCAAGGATGCTTTGTGCATTTTGACCACCCCTCCCCACCCCATTCGCAAAACACAATCATTTTTTTCCACCGACTTTTCCCCAATCTCACGACCCCTTTGGAGGGATGAGTGGTGTTGGTGCTTTTGTTGCATTTGCTGTTGTGTTTTCGCTTTTAGATTTTTGTTTTTTAGTTCTCCTTTTTTTTACGTTTGCTCTTGCTGTTGCATGTGTCTCTCTTCTCGATGGGGCACGAGCATCTTGCAAAAAATTGCAGAGTTGCCATTGAAAAATATTATAATTTATTGTAAATTGTAAAATTGGGTTAAACAATGTGCCAATTGTGACAGAAGGTTGTAGAAAAGGCGTAATGAAATAAAAGGAGTACTTTATGCCGAAATAGGGTTTACAATAGTATGGTTTACAGGGGAGAGGATCATCTGTCTTCCACCTGCTTAACAAAGATTTTTAGTTTATTGCTTTACTTTTTTTTCAAGAAATTATTCAGCACTATTCTACCCGCAAATACGTACCACAACGTTGGCGAATCAAATACTTTTGTGGGAGCAGCTGTTCAAAAACAGTTTTGATCGCTCAAAAGTCAGCTCTGGCGTGTGTGAAAAATTAATTATCACCACGTGGCAACACTGTCAACGTGCTTTAATGCCATTTTTTAGCCATTCGTTTTTTACTCGGTTTGCTCCCTTTTTTTGCACATGTTTTGTTGCATGTCCAAACATTTTTTATTCTGTTTTGTTTTTTGAATAAGCAACGCATTGGACGGTCATACACACATACACACAAATGGATGGATGGTCATGGGTAGAAAAGTAAAAAAAAGTACATTTTGGTCAGAAGTTGGATTGAGGGGGGAATGAGGTGGGTTTTTGGCCTATACAAGGTGGCTAGGGCTGGCTGCATGGGCTTATTGCGATGCGTGACTGGCATTTGTGGACTTTGAATACAAACCAAACAGTCACTCGTACACATAGATAGTACATACACACACACAAGTGCAATTATGAATACCCCACACAAAGAGAGACAGAGAGATATCGTACATAGAGCAACACTCTCACTCACACTCACATGTGCATTTCAATACGCATTAATAACTACGAATTCAATGTGGCAACCACTCCTCATTCCTCCCACACACCCCCAGTCATCACTCTTGCACCACACACACACAACACACCCCCATGACGCAGTCACACCGACACGGAAGCGGCGTCTCTGCAGCAGCTGACGCCTAAAAAACGACTACAAAAAATATAAAAATCAAATTCCCCGCCCTGTTCCTTAATTTCATCAGGCAGTCGAAAAATCGAAAAACTGAACAATTATATTCCGTTTTGCTGGCACTCTCTCGACTCTCCACCAACGGATTTCCAGAGATTTAAATAGATGGGGAAAAGTATAGCCTTTATCTTAACATAAAGATCAGACTATCACATCTAGTCCCATTCCCATTGGCTGCCTCCAATTGAGTCATTGCGTTGTCTCCTGCCGTTTTTCTATTTCTAGTTTTGTTTTTGAGTTTCAGCATATTTGCTTCCTGATGGGCTATACGTATGCATCCATGTACGTATGTTCATGGTTTCCATGAACTTCCCTCCATTTTTTTTCGTACAACATTTTTCCTGGTTGTTTTCCCTGTCTGGTGGCCGCAAATCGTTTTTCCATGAATTTTTCATCCATTTATCGTTGCCATTGAGCCAATTTCAGGGCGCTTAGAATTCATTGATACTTTAGCAAAATTGTTTTTTTATTCAGGTGCGTTGCCGTTTTGTTTTGGTGATTTTGAAATTTGTAGCGTGACATTGAATCAGGAAAGAGGTGAAAGTTGGGTTTGTTTTTTATTGTAAAGTGTTTCAATGAACTACAAATGGGTTCTTCGAGTTACTCGAAACTACTCAGTCATCTGCCTTTTTGCAAATCCAAATCACTGTCAGTGGCATTTCTATATAACGTATAAAAGATATCAGTTTTAAAGCTGTAAGCAATACTAGAATTACTGATAAAACATTTCCAGCAAAGGCGCACTCAAATAACGATCAAACGCCGAACGATTATTTGTTTATACAAAATATATCTATTGCAGTGGCCCCTGGCTATGCCGTTCTGCCGTTCTGCCGTCTGGCAATGTATAAATAAACATTTCGGAGCGGCGCAAGAATTCTGCGAAGCAGAAAACGAAGCGAAGAAACTTTCCATCGCTGACTCAAGGTGGAGGGAAACTGCAACTGACCAACAAAAAACAGCTGGAATCAGAGTAAGTTTTGTGGGACTCTTTGTGCCATTTCATTTTTTTGTCGAACGTCAAGCCATGCAGAGCAGACTGGGACTGTTGAGGGAGTTTAGCTCGTACCATGATCTAAGCGATCATTTTCGCATGTACAGATCCCAATCGATTGATACCCTAGACAATGGAATTGACATGAACCCGCGTGCTGGGTCCAGAGAGGGCATCGATGATTGCTACACGACATGCTCCCATTCGCATTCCGGGTTGCTGCGGGAGCACAGCTTCAAAGTTAAGAGCACTTACTTCCACGTTGGAAACTGCGTGCATTGTGAGAAAAGGTGAGTCATATATTGCGTCCGTACAGGCATCCTCACCTATTTGTGCTCTCTGTAGGATTGGCTTTGGAACGGCCTGTCTGCATTGTCGTGCCTGTCCGCTGCGCTGCCACATCGGCTGCTCTCGCCAGTTGACGGTCAACTGTATTCCCCAGCCCCATATGAACAGTAAGCGTGGAAGCCTTAGTGACTATGCGCCCACGGTGGCGCCCATGGTGCCGGCTTTGATAGTCCACTGTGTGACGGAGATCGAGGAGCGTGGGCTGCAGCAGGAGGGACTCTATCGGCTATCCTCGACGAGGGAGAAGTGCAAGCAGTTGCGGCAGAAGCTGCTGCGTGGAAAGTGGACACCGCATCTGGGGAGCAAGGACACAAACACCCTGTGCTGCTGCATTAAGGAGTTCCTCCGCCGTCTGGTGCATCCCCTGATACCCATCTACCACAGGCGCGACTTCGAGAGAGCCACGATCCAGAGCAATCCTTCGGACGTGGAGGAGCAGGTTTATCAGGTAATGCAGATGCTGCAGCAGGCGCATCGTGACACGCTGGCGTACCTCATGCTGCACTGGAAGCGTGTGGCAGATAGTCCGAGTGCTAGAATGTCCATCAGCAATCTGGCCCTAATTTTGACTCCAACTTTGTTCGGGGATCTCGACTTGACGGTGGAAAATATAACCACCTGGACAAAGGTGCTTAAGGAGCTGCTGCTGCTGCCGCATGTTTTTTGGGTTCAGTTTCTGGAAGTGCATCCTGCCCCTCTGTCCAACGATTACCACGACGACGACCGGTACACACACAGGCAATGGGACCATCATCACCACAGGCGCTGGAGCTCTGTTAAAACCTACTTTAGATCTATGGTAAGACGATATTCTCTCCACTTTTGATGCATTTAATAATGTGGTTCTATATTTCAGGTGAATCTCTCCACAATCAGATGAGAGATGTTTTGTTTATGTTTTATTTGTTTATTTTAGATTTGTTTGCTTTGGGTCAAGTTCTTTCATTATTGCAAAATTAAAAGTTACTATTACAGTTAATTCCATCTGCTGAAAATCATCTTAAATTACGTTTTGAATGTACATTTAAAATTTAATTTGAATGTTTTTTGCTGATTTTGTTATGAAGTTTCCCAAATAAAATAAAAGCACATCTGGAAAACATTTTTACCAGATATAAATAATATAGCATGGCCCAAAGCTTGGCAATCTTTCGACAATATATTTGGAATATTGAAACATTTATTAAAATTTTAAATTGATTTTCCACTTTTTTAGCTGAATGTTGATTAATTCCCCAATCACTGGTGTGAGGGGGAGTGTGGGGGTGCGGTAAAAACCGTGAAGCGGAGTAAAAAATTAATAATTTCCATTTGGCCATACGAATATTTATGTTTATGTGAAGCGTAAACCAAAACACAAAGTAAAATATTATGCCACCGATGGGTGTATGGGCCGATGTCGTATAGAAAGAAGTGAAGGCGTTAAGAAAAAAGTTAGTTTGGCGTTTTAAAAACAATTTGCTGAGTGCTTGTAAAAAATGTGTGTGTGGCCATTAAATGCAAAAAACAAGCAAAGCAAAACAAAGCACTCGAATGCGCTGGAAGAGTGCATAAACAGACCCATACGCACACTCATACAAACTCACGCACACCACTATATAGGGGGTAAAAAATAATGTATAATAAAATCAAAAATAAACCTATAGCGAGACGGCGACAGAGTGCAATGCGATTCTGTTGCTAACCGCTAAAAACGGGCAGCAGTTGCTGTTGTTCTATCTGCCACGTTAACGTTAACCAAATGCTAATGCCACACACACACACGCACGCACACTCTGATGCCCAGTCAGGGGCAACTGCAACTGCAACGTGCACCAATACCGTGGCAGAAAAGTGCAGCGCAAAAATAACACACAAAAAATAAACAACAACAAAAGAAAAAAGCAGAAAAATAAATAAGTAAAACAAAAATAAAAATAGTTTACATAATTCATGTATTATATCGGATCAAATTTTAATGCCTGCCGTAGCCCGGCCCAGTCTATGTGTGCGAGTGTGTGTGTGTGCAGCTGCAGCAATAGCAACAGCAACAGAAGCGTTGCCTACTTTGGGGGAAATTGTTTAACAAATGGCACGATTGCAATATATGTATGCAAGTGTGTGCGTGTGCATGCATAATTTGCAGGCAGTTTTTACTTTATTTTTTAGACTTTTTTAGCCTATTTTTATTGTTAATTAAATGAGGGGAATAACAGACACAGACGTTGCAATTGTACGAGTATATGTATGTATCCATATAGACATGTATGTACAGGGATCGCATGTTTGTGTTTGTGCTGCTTCTGTCTATGCATGTGTGAGTGGAGGCTTTGGTATGCGCAACAAATTTTTCGCAATTTTTCTATTTTCTCAGCACTTTTTCCGCGCTGTGTGTGTTGGGTCGAGAGCATTTTACGCCCGTTGTTTCGCATGTAATTCACTAATTGATAGTGTGAGTCTTTGCCCGGTCCCCCCAACCCACACACCAGCCCCCTTGGCCAAAGGGGCAGCTGACCACTCGTGTAATTGTGTTAGTGACTGGACGCACACACACATATAAAATGTTAAAAGTGCAGCAAAGAAGAATGGTGGAAAAAAGTAAATGCAAATGTCAAATAAAACTAAAAAATGTACGTTAAAAATAATAAAAGCGTATTATGCGTGTGTGTGAGAGTGTGTGTGGAAAAGGGAGAGGAGAGTCTCTCTCTCTCACACATACTCACATGCATGCAGACACATGAGTGGCGTTGCGCTAATAATAACATGGTGCAAAAAGCGTTGCATACTTTTATGCTTATTTCAGTTAATTCCGCCGTCTTTTTTCTTTTTGCCTCCTTTGCTAGGCGTGTTCTATAATTTTATGTAAAACGTGTGGCGGTCGACCGAAACAAGTGGGCGCGGCATGTGGTTCATATAGAGCGCCCTTTTTTATTACGAAATAGCTATTTCTTTTTTTGTTCACAAGACAAATATTTTGTTACAAAAAAAACTTGTGGCAAGTACATGATTAATTTTAGTGCTAAAGGACTTAGGTTGAATGGCTAATGGAATTGAAAAATCAAAGGTATTGAGTGTGGAATTTACGTTAATGTTTAAGCATTTCAAAGTACTTTTTCTGAGTGAAATTCCCATCACTTTTAAACCCATTTAATCATGGGACTCTTGCTGCCTCTCTCTTTCTGATTATACATACATCAGGCATTTCTGAATTCAATCTTCTGATTCAATTTTTATCAAACAAATAATTTTAAAATAATATACATTCTTCATGTTTTCCGATTCCATGCAAAAAACATACAAAATGAAGACTCCACCTCCTGACATTCGCCCAAAAAATGGTGAGCATAATTTTTTGGCCAGCTCCAACAAAAAAGACGTCGAGGAGAATAGCAGTGCAAGGCTGCCTCCTGTCCAGCATTTCCATTCGACAGAGAAAAAAGATGCAAAGAAAGTGGCAGAGCAGAGCACACACTAACATGATAGGCTGGCTCTCACTCTCACATGAGCGTGGAGCAGGGTACATACGGAATATGTGGCCAGTGCCAGGGAAAAGCATAAAAAACGAAAAGCTGATGCTGTTGATGCTGGTTTTTGTTCGTCCAGCCCAATGTGCAGATGAGAGTGCCAAGTGTAGTAATTCCAATTGAGGCAGGGACTGGGTGCGGAACCGATGCCGAGGCCGAAGCCGAAGCCTGACTGCCAGAGTCCGGCTACTGGAGCAGCAACAGCGTCAGTGGCAGTGGCAGGATCGGAAAAAATGAAAGTGTGGGTAATTAAAAAAGTAGCAGCAGCCGCTTTTGAGCGTAGAAACGCACTAATTTTCTGTAGTGCAACACACACACACGCCGTAGCATGTGTGCCAAAAGGAAATACAAAATTGACACACTCATACCAGCACGCTATGACAGCTCACACACTCCCACAAACACATGAAGCAGGCAGCAGGCAGAAGAAAAAAAACTGAGAGTGTAGCATACTTTTAGGCATACTGCTATTTCACTTTGTCTCGTACAAATGAACACCTCACCACCCATGTTAGCCCCCTTATGTTTGTGTGTGTGTGTGTGTGTGTGTGTGTGTGTGTGCAACGCTCATCAGCGCTGCAAATTCTGTTAGCTTCGCACCGCAATTTGTGGGTATTGTGGGTGTGGCATATCTGGCCGGAAACATCATTCGTCCAAAAATTCGTACGCTGTCAATGCTGCTGTTGTGCTGCACAACAAAACTGTAACTATAATGCAGTTTTTTTTCCTGGCACAAAATAAGAGTTTTCCGCATTGCAGAATTGAACACAGAAAAGTACTCTGTAATTCTGTAAACTTAAACTACTCCAAAGATATTTGTGATCAGATCTTCAGCCCACCCAAGGCTGTGTCCCACGCATATCGCTGACTCTCCACCAGAGATTCTTTTCAGCTGCAGCAACACCACAGGCTCACCTGCGACAGCTGGCACCTGCCCTGTTCTGCCACAAATAACCGTTAAAAAACAATAAGCTCAATTAGCAGCAATCAACACATGGAAAGAGCCGATGCATAATTGACATTTTACGAGGCAACTGCAGCTGCTCTGCGGCTCTCCGGCCTGGCTCTGGCCCTGGCTTGAGTGTCATGCCACAGAGTGCGTGGGTCATGTGAGCCGTGAATGAATGTGAGAAAAATTGGAATTCGATACGAGAGAAGGGCTATGTATTGCTATCCATCCCAACCATTGTAACTCGAAACTTTTCCCAGAAGTAATCAACTGGAAAATTGTAAACAAAAGCTGGTGTCTCGTCCGGGTCCTCTGAGGCCACGAATCCGACGCCGTCGGTTAACTGTGCCAGGATTCATGCAACAAACGGTTGCCATCGGCAACCATCAGCATAATTCAACTGTTGCAGCCACTACCCTTAAGATACAAACAGCAACAACGTGGAGGGGGGGATTGGCGAAAATTGGAATCGGGATAATCGTTTATGGACTCACCTGCGGGCACATTTTGCACTGATACTTGCGTCCACTGCCACCGCCTGGAGCATGTCCACCAGTCCCTGCACCGACCGCGCCCTGGCCGCCGCCCATTTTGCTGGCATTGATGGGCTGGGGCACGACGAGAAGAGAGGCCGCCGCCGAGGCAGCTGCCACCGCAGAGTTGTGATGATGGGCAGCAGCAGCGGCTGCGGCGCTCACATGATTCCCATGATGTGATGGGACGCCCAGGCTGGAGTTGCCACCGCCAGAGGCTCCACCACCCGCACCGCCATTGGCGGCACTTCCCAGGCCCAGGCCACCTGCAACAAGAGAGCAGAAAGGAGATGTTCCAAGTGAAATGTGATCCAGAGCTTGTACAATCCCAAAGATGAGTCATTTCCCCCTTTGGATGGCTGTCTTGGCAGTGGCTGCGACATGTAACTCACCTTGTCCGGCCACCGCATGATGCTCCAGACGATTGTCATCCAGAAAGTGACCTGCAATGGCAATTGAGTTGTTTCATTACTTGGACTCGCGATCCGCGACTCGCGACTTGTGACTTGCGACGAGTTGTGTGTGTGTCAGCCGTGTGGCGCCGTCTAATGCTGCCCCATGGTTGTCCATCAAGTCTCGGCTATGCTTTAGTTCTGCTCAGTGCGAGTCGGAGTCGTGTCTGTACGCTGTTTATGTTGCCGCAAACGTTAACGTTCACTCACGTTGACCATGTCGCCACCTGACCACATCATCCTCTCTGCTGTGCCGTCTCCTGGCTATCTGGCTACCTGGCTACTCGTTTTCCGTTGTTCGTTGCCTGCTTTTTCCTCTAATTAAACTGAGACATTAGTTGGCCTCACTGATTGCCACTGGGAAATCGCTCGACTGTGCTCTTGCTGCTGTTGCTGTTGCTGTTGCTGTTTCTGCGGTGAGGAATTATGTGAAAATAGTTTCACATTTGCACGGGTTTTAGAATTTTTTTTCCCCTCGACTTACTGCCTGGGGGCGCCGCTGAATGGCTTGCTTAGGCCATTTGCGTGCAAAAATTGTGTGAATCTGTTAATGAGTTTGTCTGTGCTGTGCTGTGTTGTGCTGTGCAAGGGTTAAGCAGGATTTAGGGCAATCATCTACTAGTTATGAACATAATTGCCAGCTCCACTCAATGGTTAATGAGGAAATTCTTTTATAATCCCCCACTTGTGGCGCCCCAGCAGTTATGTCAAAAACATTTCTCTAATAAAACATTTGCAGCGACAATTGCCTGGGCATAAGCACACAATATATATAAATCCTTTCAGCGGCCTCCTCCCCTATAAAATTTGTGTTAATTACTGAGAGCTGGCCAAGTGGCGCCAACCATTTGCGGCATTTCAAATGAAAGACCAGTGGCAATAAGAGCAACAGATATATTTAGGGGTAGACCCATGCACCATCAAAGTACTAGTAAAAGTTTCATTCTAGTTAATTTTTTCGAGAGGAGAGAGCTAGATAGAGGTAGAGAGAGATCGAGAGACTGCAACAGAATTGCACACAGATCCGAGTACATCTACATCGATGGTAACAATGTGGCCTGATGCTTATCGCAGTTGCAGCAGCAGCAGCAAGATCCACAGTAGCAACAACAACCTTATTGGCCAATTGCCTAGCGTTGACATTATCGGCCTGAGATCATTGCCGCCAACGTCAACGCCAACAAGCACTCGGGAGTCCAGCCTCCGCCTCCATCCTCCTCCAGTTTCCTTCAGTCTATGGCCCACAGTCTCCGATCTCTAGTCGCCAAACGGGAGCGTGTTGCTGTCAATGTTGCAGTAGCAGCAGCAGCAGAAGCAGTAGAAGGAGCAGCAGCAACAACTAAAATGTTGTTTGCATTTTAGGAATTTATGTAAACATCTTGTAAGCATCTTGCAGCCGCAGTGGCGGCTACAGCAGCAGCAATAGCAGCAACAACTCCTGTTAAAGGTCAATTTTTGGGCTGCTTCGGATACTCCGTGGGAGTACATTGTCTTTCGGGGCTTTTGTTGTTCCGCGACGGGGACGGTGGCCCGCACGCGTTTTCCAATTTAACTTTTGCATTCTTGCCCCTTTTCAGCATTCAGTACGGAGTATCTCTGAGTGGGGCTTACGAGTAGATCGGTATCTGGTGGAGATCTGTGGTTCGCGCGCCGCGATCTGAATCTGCCTCCACTGAGATCGGAGGCACTGTGCAAATTCGTGATTATCGTTCGATGTTTTTCTGAGCAATTAATTAACAAGCGCATTGTTGTCAGTCAGGTTTTTCGGGTAGGTCAAGTGATTGGGATAGGTCCGCACACAGTTCGTTCACAGTCCGCTAACACAGTCCGGGGAACGTTCTGCAAATGACTCACCTTTCTGCAATTGGTTGTGGTGGTGATCGTTCATTTTGGCCTGAAAGGGAGAGGATAATTCATGACTAATCAGTGGAATTGGCTTTGACGGGATTCAATTGATTCGATTTGCGCAACTGTTTAGTAGTGTCTAATCCAACAAATGCCCGCTAATTGCTTGTAGTTTAATGTCAATTCATAAATATTCCACACACATTTAATTAACCTCGTCCACCTAACATTATTATCAAATATTCATTTTGCCCCTCGACAATCAAATGGCCATAAAACAATTTGCAGAATGCTGTCAAAATATTTAAACAAATTTCCTAATGATTCCCCTAATCGTATTAAAAATGTTGCACATGGAAAAGCAAAATGCCATGTGGCATAACAAATGTTTTCGCCAGCTGTCAGGATGAGTCAAAGCCAGCAAAACCAACCAACAATAAATGAATGGGGAAAAAAGGAAATCAAATTCGTGACAAAAACCGTAGACCCATCAAATCGAATAGTAAAACCAAATCAAATAGTAGCAAAAGGACCATTAAACGCATAGCTAAAGACCCGTGAAACCCATGGCGAACCGTCAAATCCAATGACAGAAAATCCTGGTAGAGAAAATATAAATAAAAATTCTAACCGACGGCAAAGCGAGAGTGATAGATAAAACGATGAATAAGACCCAGAGAAAATAGTAGTACGAGTAGCATAGAAAAAATGCCACACAGCTTTCGATTGCATGTAAATTGTGAATATGGGTTAAAGTCCTCTAGCTACCAGACATGACCTAGGACAAAACCCAGACAAACACACAGACAGACAGATAGACAGACGGTGGAATGGAGCGACGGAGCGACAGAAGGACTATCTATATCGATGGCTGGAAAATGGAAATCAAATAAAATAAACTCCCACTGAAATGCCTCATGCCGATGGCTGGCTTGTTGTCAAAAAATAAATGACAGCCTGGCTTTTTTTCTAAACAATTTCCATTTGCTTAGAGGATGAGAATAGGTCAGGGGTTTTCCCCCCCTTAACACCCCCCTGCACAAAATGCAACAAGAAAATATAAATACAAATATTGCAGCGGCAACAATAGAAAAGCAAAAACCCAGAGTCTGGCAGCGACCAGACACAGTCAGCTATAAAAGTATATAAACCAGGCGTTTGTGTGTAGGGGGTGGTAATAGGGGGCGGGTGCCACGGTTCGGTTTCGTGTGGGGGAATAAGGAGTGGGGTTGCATAAAAGGAAGAGGAAAAACAAATCCAAACGTTGGCGGCACGCGAGCTTAGAATTTGTTTGTTCTGCTCTCGTTTTCCGCCGTGTTGTGTGAAGGGTCTTGGGGGAGGGAGGGTTATGCATTTGCCATAAAGTTATTCTCCCGTTTGTTTTGCTAACATTTTGATACGGATCTATAGATAAAAACACCCATACACATACATACATACATATATTTGGGGGACACTTACCTCGTATTCCTGTTTCAGGGACATTGGATGATGCTCGCTGGCATGCTGATGACTGCGCGGCGTCGGCGGCCAAAGATTGTAATCGCTTATGTCTTTGGCATGCTGTTTTGTGTTTTTTGTTTGCCCATGTTTGGTTTTGTTTTACGGTCAGCGTTTTGTTGGTCAATTAGCGGCAGCATATGGAAATAGAAAAGGCAAATATGGGATGAACAATTTAGATAAGGATTCTCGTTGGGATTTAGTAAACAAAAGAGACTCCATGATGTGTGGAAATCTACAGCAGGATGTTGCTCATGTTTCAGTTGGTTAAATAACTAAAGATATCTCAAGTAAAACAAAGCCACAGATTTGACTTTTAATGTGTATTTTAGTGTCCTTTACTAATTTTTTGCAATAATAGCATACAAAAGATTATTTCTTTTTAATTGAAGCTTTATGTTAAATCATTTTTTACAGATAAATAACATGTTTGATTAAAATTTCAACAATGAGATTCGTTGCAAGCAAAACATATTTGCCTCGTATATTTTTATATATTTTTTTAAAGAATAAAACATTAATAAAATTGATTTAAAATTGGTATTTTTTTGTCCTTTCTACTTTTTTAATTCAGTTAAAAATATTATCTAAAAACTTTCTTTTGTTATTTCTATATCAATTGGTAGTATCTTTTCAAAGCCAGTGTTTTGTGGCACTTCAACAAATTGCAAATCATTAATATCTGATTTCATTAGCATTAATCCAATGTTTCTATTTTCAAGAGCTTGTTTTGTAACATTTCAACAATGCAATCCTTTTCCCATTGATCTACTCGAAACCAGGCTCTAATTTTTTGCTAAAATCCCAGAAATTGCCAACCAAAAAAAATCAGCCCTGTTCGAGCTCGAAACCAGGAAGAGAAGTCGCGTGGACAAAAAAAAAAAAAAAAAACGAGTGGTCGAAAGGCTCCGCTCGAAAGACTAATACAAATAAATGTGAGTGTCAATTGAAATAGAAAACCGCGTGCCACGCAATCGAGGTGTCAAAGCGACGGCGACGGCGATGCCGAGGAGACCGGCAAAAGTGCGGCGGCTTTTGGTGTTGGCCAAACGCAACAGCAAAAAAATATAAGAAACAGGCAGCAGGAGTAAAACAAAATAAAACGAAAAAAAGTGTTGCATAGCGCAAGGGGGAGTTGACCAGTGTGATAGGCTCTCACATATGTGGTGCTGCATAGTGTGTTTGTGTGCGTTTTTGTCTGTGTGTGGGTGTGAACCGCTGAGCGTTAGCACTCTCGTTGTTTTAGTTGCTTTTGTGGAAGTTCATAGTTGACCATCCTCTCGGATGGGAGACCAACAACCACCCCCATCCAACACTCTCTTTTCTTTCCCATACTGTAGCTCTCTCTTTTTCTCTCTCTTCCTATCAGTGCCCTCTCGCTCATACACTCTACATCGTGAAGCTGCAGCCATGACTAGTTAGTAGGTGGGCTAGGAAAAAATGCAAAGAGACAGACAGACAGACACACACGCACACACGCAGCTGCTGATGAAGATGACCAGCGCCATGGACATGGCTGTGGACATGGACGGAAGTCCTCTCTAACCAACATTGCCAGCCATACAGTCAGCAATAGGAAGGCGTCGCCTGTCCCCAAACACCCCGCCATCTACGATCTACGACCAGCCGGAGTTTGGGTTTCCAGCACGCAGCAAAAATGAACAAAAACCAAAAAAAAAGGAGATCCAAAGAAAATTTTCGAAAAGAAAAAAATGGCTCAGCGCAGCAGCAGCTTTCTCTTTCTCTCTCTCTGCCTCACACACATACACAGGACACTGTGTCGTTTTTCTCCTCATGCTCCCCTTTTTGAAGCTCCAAAACAGCGAAAACGTAAAAAAATTTCTAGGAGAAAAAAATCAAAACAAATTTTTTAACCCCTTCGAAGGGAGCAGCAGGAGCAGAGCAGCATCATCAGAGCAGAGATGGCGCGGGCAGAGCAGTTGGGCAGAGCCAAAGGGAAGGGGTGGTTGGGTGGCACGACGGGGAGATGTAGCTGCTGGACAGGGGGCAAGGCAGCGCTTCTATGCAATATAGAAAAAAGTGCAAAAAATTAGGCGGAAAACGTTGAAAATTTCTCCTCTTTCGGTTTTTTTTTTGTTTGTTCTTTTTTGCAATTGCACGTCCAGACTTTAACAGAGACTCAAACCCCAAAGCGTGTTGGGAACATTGTAGCAACCTTTGCAGGGATCTACGCTCCCACACTCCTAAGACATGCCCTGGTTTGCCCTCACCTTGCTTTTGCATTGGGTTGGTGTATATTTTTTTGTATTTTACACTCCTCTGTGCATTTCGTTTTTATTTAACTTATTTTGCCTTCACATCTTTTTAGTCATGTTGCCACTGTCTGCTTCTATTGATTTTTTTCGCATTTTAGAACTGAATTTTTTGTTGTTTCGTGTTCAAATGTTTGACCATCCGCACTTGTGTTTCATCTTTGTTTTTATCCTGCTTTTTTTTTGTCGCCAAACTGCTGCGTCCTGCGGCTGCTGGGCTCTGAGGTTAGGAATAGGTCTTTGCTGATTTTGTTGTCACACAAAAATTGTGCTCAACTTTGCTGCAATTACTTTAAAAATTGAAGTTGCTTGCGGTTTTGGCGGTTTTCCTTTTTGTATACATCCCACTGTTTTTTTTTTTTTGTCTGGTCCAACTCCCGATTCGTTCTGCCGTGACCCTGGCCCCCCCATTAGTCAGAGCTACAGCTACAACCTCCGGTCTGGACTCGTACTCGATTCTAGTCAGAGTTTCTGAGAGTTCATGTGACTGGCTTTCATTTCGTTTCGCATTTCGCATTTCACGTTTTTTCTTCGGCATCACATTGACGGGTTTTTGTTCCCACTAATTGAAGCATAAGTATTAATTGCAAAGCTTTATTTGAAATCGTGCCGTGGTTAAGGGTATACATTTTGGGTTTTCTTTGTTTTTAATTATTGAATTCTATGGGAAGCAGATTGGTTTGTTTAAAGCGCTTTGTCGGAGAAAATATCTGAATAAATTTTTCTTCAAAAAGTTAATCTAAAGTTTGTTACTACGCCAACCCCCCGGAAAAAACTGTGGGTTTTCTGGATAAATAAATGTTTTTCCTAAAAGTACGCTAACAAAATCAAATTTTGTATAAGTCAAGTCCTAGGACTAAGATAAATTAAATGCAATTGCTTTCAAAATTAATTAGTGAGCTTTACTGCCAACTTCGCCCAGCTTCAATCCTGGCTAACTAATTTCGCTAATGCAAGTGACAACAACAGCAGCAAAAAAATCTTGATTGTTGTACCAACAGAAAGAGACAGAAGCAGCGAGAATGGGAGAGAAGGAAAGGGATAGAGAGGGCATGAGGCCATTGTTGAACTTTAAAAATTAATTAACTATCCTTTAAGAATCATGCGGGTGTAGCAAAGTTTTTAAATGGTTTTTCCAGAGACTTTGCTAACGAGTCAATTGAATGGGACACAAGAGAGTGAGAAAGTGATACTGGGAAAGAAAGAGAGAGAGAGAGTGCAAGAGAGGAAAATGTAAAGAGAGAGAGAGAGAGAGAGCGAGAAAGAAAAAAAGAGGCTAGTGAAGGTGAACCTTTCTGGCTGGACACGTCGTTGTCCTTGGAGACAATCAATCTCCATTCAAAACAATAATTTCGCTGCTCCTTCCATAAAAAATGTGGAAAACTGACAAAAAACTCGTTGAAGCTCAATGAAAAGCAAAAGGGAAAATAAGGAAAAAAAACAAAGAAAGGGAAAAACTCTACAAAAACAATGTTTAACGCGTTGCGCAAAGAAAAACTTGTTTACATCTTGAAAAACGTAGAAAAAATGCTGTAAAAAACAAAAAGAAATACGACCCCAGCACTGTTCCCCCGTTGGCACGCGAGCAGAGAGCGCGACGCGTTCAAGGAGATTTTGTGGTAGGAGCAGAAGGCAAAAACAGAGCATAGAAAAACAGAACTGCAAAGGAGACGGAGAGCGAGCGTTAAGCAGGAGGGGGTGGAGACCACGCTGCTCAAAAGGATTTTTTTCAGCGTCGCGTCTGCTGTGGCAGGGGAAGGCGGAAGGTGGAGGGTCTAGTAGAATGGGGCAGGATGCTTTGGCTTAGCTTCGGGTACGCTTTTGGCCATGTAGCAACAGACAGTAAATGGTTTGAGTTCCAGCCAGTTGTTGGCCTGGCCCCGAAGTTTTGTCGAGTGAAAGTGCAGACCCAAAGGGGATAGGAAGTGGGGGGATGGGAAGGGTCTTTGCCCAACTTGGCGGCGTAACGAATCGCTATAGATGAGCTTCTGATATTGTTGAAAAAAAGGGTTGCGAGTCTCCAGTACAGGGGAATGGAATGAGTTCTGTAATGAGTTGACCTGAAGCTGGGCTTTCAACTTCGCTGAGGGTTAAGGTCGTTGTCGCTTGGAAGTGAACTTTGCATAACTTTTCAGTAGCAGTAGAAGTTGTTTTATACAATGTCTGATAAGATCCAACAGCAACGTGATAAAGTGTTCATGCAAAACTAGTTGATACAAATCTCAAAAAAGTATCTCAAGTTTGTCTTAAATCCAGTTAGCAATAGGGCGCTTTTTTTTCGTTATGCATCACTCATTTAATTCAGTTAGCCAGAGAAGTCCACTTGCATCTTAATTATGGAGAAGTTCCCTCTATAAAGGCAAGTACCCGCCATTGGACTCGGGCCAACGAGTGGAAACTGCAAGTGCCAACTGCAGTAGGAAGAAGAAAACTTGTCCCTTACTTTACGCCCCCATTCGTTGCTTAACTACCAAAAGTTTGTCCTTACGTACAAAAAAGAAAGGGAGAAAAATCACAAGACAAACTTTGGCGACAAGTCGAAAGTTGGCTTGAATTAGCAAGTGCCACGCCTACGAGACGTATTATCCTTTTGATGATACTCACATCCACATTGCCGTTCCACATGTAGTGCATGCCCACGGCTGCGGTGGGATCATGATGCGTCTGGCCCGTCATATGCTCGGCCATCACGGCGCTCATCCAGTGGACCAGTCCCTGGGTGGGGTTCTGACCCTGAACACCGCCGATCGGCATATTGGCAGCGGCAGCAGCAGCAGCTGCAGCGGCGGCAGAGGCTACAGAAGCGGCCCTCGAATTTGGACTGGAGCCGGAGTGGTGCTCCTGGCTTTTGCACGTGGCGGCTGCCGATGTGGCGTGGGTGGTGGTGGCGGCGTTGGCGTTGGCGTTGTCCGACTCTGGTGGTGACTTTATGGAGCTGCCAAAGTTCGGACGCGTCTGTGATGCGGGTTGGGTCTGATTCAAATTAATTGCGGACACTGAAGTCGCTTGGGTGGTGTTGCCTTCGATGGGTGGCGTTGGTGGTGTTGTTGCTACAACTTCGTTGTTGTTGGATGACCACGAGTAACTGTTATTGTTGTTGTTGTTGTTGTTGCTGCTGCTGTGGGGTTTCTGCAATGAAAAATTATTCCTTGTTTTAGTGAAAAGGGTTTTTGTTTTGTTCAACATTCTGCGTACAGAGATGTGTGCGTTGGTTAATGTATTGGGCATGAAAAATGAAATTGAATGAATGGAGCTGAGCATTTTTGATGATATTATTGTTGGCGGGCGGCTAGACCTTCCCTTTTTGGGAAACTTCCTAGAGGGTTACATATCTAATCAGCTTTTTTGGGATGTATTTTTAATTGCTGATAAAATTGGGGGTATGTTCATATAAGTATATGTAAGAGTAGCTCTTAATGGTGGTTGAAACTCTCTGGATAACTTTTTATTGGGTAGAGTCTCGGAAGTCTTGACCTTTCTGAATGGAAAGCAAACATAAATTGGCTTGTGCAAAGCTCTTAATTATCACCATTCAAAAAAGAGCAAAGGTTAATGTAGTATTAAGCATTTAAGGCACTCAAAATTATACCAAAAAGACTTGTCTTAACATTTTTGTGCAAGTGGATAAGTAAAACCTCAGAAGGAAACCTCTGACCAACCCCAATACCCTTACTAACATGCTGACGTCCAGAGCTCTTCTCAATCACATGCTGCTGCTCTTCCTCGTGGCTAGCATCTCCCTGTGGTGCCTGTGGCTCCGGCTCTTCCCGCTCCGTCTTCACCTGGCCGCTTCGCTGGCAGCGCTTCGCTGCCGCTGATGCGGACTCTGCGGCCGCAACGCAAACAGCCGCAGCAGCCGCCGAGGAAAATAACAAATTGCTGGGCAGATGTGAGCGGGCGGAGGACGGAGATGGTGTAGAGCTCGTGGCTGGGATGGGCGATGGCGTTTGGGAGTAGTAGCGGATGGCATCGCACTTCTGCTGCTGCTGAAGCACGGCGCTGGCCAGCAGACTCTTGTAGAATTCGGCGGGCATCAGGAAAGGGGATGGGGATGAAGAGGCGCCGCCCATGTAGTTGGTCAGCTCTTGGGTTTGGGTCTGGTGCCGCTTCAGATGATCCTTCAGCCGCTCCATGTCCATGTTCAGATTCGGATGGCTCGAATGGTTGTATTTGCTTATGAGTTCGTGCATGACAATCGCCCCAGCGCCCAAATGTAGGCAACCGTTTTTACGTTCCTTTTGTAGTCAATTTCACTTTCAATTGATGGGCACACCGGAAAAATCCGGAACGTTGCACGAATAGCACCCCAGCTTACAGCAATTTATCTAACTGAAGCACAGTTTGTTTGATTTTCCCACAAACACACACACTCGCACTCACACTCACACTCACACATGGGCCAAAAAAGAGTTGGAAAAACTTTTCACCCAAATTCTATGATCTTTTATTTTGGTTTAACTTTTATTTTATTTTAGAACGTGAGTAGAGGAGGCCGCATGTGGGGGGCTGTTGCACTTCAAAAACTTTTTCTACTAGTCGAGGTATCCGCTTCACCATTTTTGGTTGCACACAAAATTGAAACAAATGGAAATGATTTGCCACCCAGAAACTTGCCACAAATGACCTTGAAAAAGTTTCTCCTTAGTTTTTTATTACGTTTTTTCTATGTCTATATGGGTGTGTGTCCTTCATAATGGACATGTGTTGAGGGGATCCGTTTTTGTATTATTCTTGAATAATTTGTTAGTCTTATTTGTTGTGGATGTTTTGCTTATTGTTTAGCAAACAGTTTCCGCTCCTCTCTCTCTATTATGATTTATTTGTTTGGGTTTGGATGGGTTCTTTATTTGTCAGTTTGTTGGTTTACTTTTCATTTATGATGGTTTCATTTTGTGGCCGTTTGATGTGTGGCGAGAGTTTAGGTTTTTGTTTTGGTTGACTGCGATTTGTCACACGTTGAGTGAATAAATATGATCCAATGAGAGGTTTACAATATTCTGGGCAAGTTTAACGCATGGCAATTTTTGTTTTTGTTTTGTACAACTTTTTAATATCTTTGGTTATATGTATAAATATTTTAGTTTATTTATTTTGATGTGTAAATATTGTAGATTTGATTTATAAATATAGTCTTTTGCACTACGTGATAGGAACTTTGCGTTGCATTTTTGGTTGATTTATTTACTACAAGTTTACATAGTTATCTGTTTAGTAATATAATTTTTTTTTTGTGTATGTGTTTTTTTTTTTGTTATGGAGGAACTTTATTTAAGCTTTCACTTGGGTCTGCCCCTGCGGAGGGAAGATAGAGGTTGAGGTGTAGCTTTTGTTGTATCACGTATACGTCTTTCCCGACGAGACGCTCTAACGGTTCGCATATCACTCTATACTAGCTGTTTCGTTCACTTAAAGTATCAGACGATGCCGTAGTTTCAGTTAAAGTGCTGCCCCCGGTAAGATGCCCATTTTGTTGGCAGGTTTATGTTTGTTTCTGTCTCTGTATGTGTGTATGTATTGTATCCTAGCCCGTCCGTGTGTCCGTCTGCGTCCGTCCACGTCAGGGGCAGTCAGCAAGCGTGGGATAACTTGCAACAACTGAAAAACCAAACTGGAACTCAAAGTGCAGCACCATCAGCATGAGCAGCAGCTGAAGAGGCATGGAGCTGGGAAGCTGCGGCAAAAGAAAATTGCGAGCGCGCGAACTAAATGTATATACAACCACACACACACACACACACCATACACACACATACAGATAATGTGTATGTGTTAACGGCGATTCTTGTGTGTTGTGAATGTTTTGTTGCTCCACCGTAACCTTCCTTCAAGCTTCGCTTCTCCTTCCTGATATTCCGCTGCTGCTACTGCCGCTGCTCCTTCCTGCTATTTGTTGTTTCTAGAGCTTGTTCTCCCTTTTTTTCTTGCTATTTTATTTTATAATTCTCCCCCTTGCCCCCTTTTTATATGCACACTGCCCCGTTATAAAGACATACATTTGCAGTTTCAGCGCGGCACTGCAGCATTTTCCTTGTAAGAAGCAAACGAAGAATGAAGGGAAAAAAATAGAAAATAAAAGCTGAATTTGCGCGACGTTGAGTGCCGCCAAGGGGTGGCAGGAAGGGTGGATCTATGTAGGTGCTGGCATGGCAGATTGATTTTCTTTTATACGGTTTGCTCATGTTTGTGATTTTTATTATTTTGATTCCTCTCCTTTTTCTTGTTTGCTCCTTCTTTAAGATGGTGTGTGTGTGTGTGTATGTGTGTAGGTTTTTTGGAAACTGCAGCTCTATGCATCCTTCTGTATAGATTCTCTATAGATGATGTGATGGTGGACCTTCTTTTCTGTGTTGGCCGTAGGCGGGGACAACAATAACAGCATGTGCCACATTTCCTTTCACAATTGAATGACCCCGGAATCTGTTGTATAGACTCGGAGTAGGCGAGGGGCTTGAAAGGAGCCAAAGTTCAGTCAGGAGGCAATTTGTTGCCAAGTTATGAAAAAGTACGAATTGTGTCCATAGTAAAGTGTGATCAAATATGCTCTTGAAGGAATCTAAAGCCAACTATAGTGTAGAAGTTAAGAAGATTGTTAGATGTCTCTGAATAAACTCTTAGAAATTTGTCCTTAGTCTATAACTCATCACCAATCATATTCTGATCTCTAACTCTTCTAGATCCTAAGCCAAACGAAACTAGACATGGATCTCCATCAAAAGAATATCCCTACCAAGATAAGTAAAGAATCATTTTGTACCCCCTTGGCTCTGTTCTCCATGGAAATATCCTCCTATCATCTCGCACTACCAAAGATAACAAGCAAATCCCTTCTTAATCCATTTCACCCCTCAACGACCATCAAATTAAACCCCTCGTCCAGTCTTGATTAATTACGATTGCAGCCCTGCCTGCAGATGTCTGATGGCGCCATCTACTGTCTAATCGCGGCAGCTGGTGCTGCTTCTGCTGCTGCTGTCAACCGCGAAACCGTTAACCAGCAAAGAGACGCAGCACGGAGACGCGAACGCGAGCAAGCGAGCAACGTGGCACCGCGACCAATAGATTTGGCCAAACCCTGGCGAACTGAAGACAACGACAGTTGCACTCCCGCCAAAGGCAACAAACTCGGGCTGTGCCACATGCAACAATCGCTGCGTCGGCGTTGACTGCGACAGAGTCTTGCCAGGAGCAGCGGCAGCAGCAGCGACGCGACAGTGCCAGTGGCAGCGGCAGAGCAGGACAACAAAACTCGCAAAAAAGGAAAACAGACAGCGGAAGCGAGCTATTTGGTCCGGTCTCGGGACTCTGGTTGCGGGATCCCGGACACGGAGCTACGGGGCGGCAGCTCCAGCTCCAGCTATAGCGACTTATGGCCATTTTTGTTGTAAGTAGCAGCAGAAGCAGCAGCAGCAGCAGCGAAATGGCGCTCGCGAAAAGGAAACTCAAGAAGTAGAGCTCTGCAGCATGGAGAGCATGGCGAGGGGGGACGAAGGAGCAGGGGCGACAGCCGTAACAAACACTCACACACACATGCATGGACTACATGGACATGGACATAAAAAACCCAAGTAAAATTGTATTTTTTCTTGCACATGAAGCACAAAAAACGGCAGCAAACTGAAAGAAATACATTGCAGGCAGCGGCAACGTCGAGCAAAAAACGAAATAATAACAAAAAGTTGTAAAAGAAAAGCGAAACCGTGTGATGTCCTGGCGCACACATAGAGACACACACAGAGCCACACATACAGTTACGGGATACCAGCAGAGGCAACGCCGCGGCGACACATCGAAGAAAGGATAAAAACCATTCAGAGCTGTGCTGCCCACGTCGACGACGCCGTTGTCGTCAACGCCACTGCGCTGCCAGCGTTTCATCCTCAGCTCCAACGTTCCGTTCCGCTGTTCAACGCCATCCTGACCCCCGTGCCCCCTAACATTTCACGAGCGCCAATTTCTTTTCCTTCATTTTGTTTATATTATTTCCCGTTTTTCTTCTCACTACTTTTTTTTCGCAAGCATGCAACCAACCTTCAGTGTGCTGTTGTGCTTGTTACAGCTTGCTCGGCTATTCCTCTGCATTTTTTACCCTATTCGCTGTTTGCATTTTTTCTCTATTTAAATTGTGATTTTTTTGTGAGGGGTGGAGAAAAGCAAAGGCCAAGGGAAATCATTCGTATATTTGCAGATCAAAATAAGATCAAGATTGGCAAAGGACTAGACGGATTACAAATACGGATTCTTCTGTATGTTGTTCCATAGAAAATAAATTCTATAAATCATCATAGATGGAATTATGATTTTAAAATTCATAGAATATTTTCCTAAATACAATTTGTATCTCCAAATCGATTGAAATTATAAATTTACTGCCTGTGTAAGAGTACCATCGAAGTTTCCTATCCAACGTACAAATCCATCTTGTACTGAAATCTTTAGTAGATCTTATAATCATTTCTAGTCACTCCATCACTTTCACATGACGGAATTCCAAAGTATATCCAAGATTACTCTACTGCAATGCATTTTGCTAAGCCGATTTGCTCAAAAAGAACTATGACAAAGGGCAAGGAGTCTCCCTCAACCGTGTGCTGCCACAACCTCTGTTGCAGTTGCACTTGCAGCGCTGGCAACGGCGCAGTTGACGCTGCGCGGGCAGCAGGCCAGCGCATGAGGAAAACGGGGGGAAAAACGGAAACTAAATCCTGTCCAGGAGCATATGTTTTTATGTGTATGTGTTTGGAGCGCTGTTTTCCTTTTTATGTGCTAGGATTTCGAGCTGCCCTTTTTACAACCACACATACATTACACATACACATACGTAGTGGCAGCTTGTATGTGGCTGTGCAGTATCCTTGTGGCATGGCTGATAAGCGTAAGGAACGTGTGTCCTTTTTGCATTGTGAGAGAGCTAAAGAAAATGGTCTTGGCCTTTAGGACACATGATGGGGTCGGTCTCTGTGCAATGAAGATATGGCAAAAGGAATTGCTTTTCGCTGATAATTGAAATGTATGTATGAAAAAGGATGTGTGGGGGTTCTGGGTTAAATAGATAAAAGTCAAGCTATGCGCAGGATAAGTACTCGTAGAAGTAAATGGATTTGATATGCGGAAAATGGTAATATATCAACAGAATATCTTCGTAATATTCCTCATGGCATGAGCATGTAAATTCAGATACAAAATCCTAAGAAGTTTCTCTCTCACATTTCATATTTGGCGACTCCACAAGTGGCTAAGCTTTGCCAGCACTTCAGCCCCTCCTGTACACCTTGCGAATGGCCACCTGTTGAGGTCCTTTATTATTTTTCCACTTGACCTCCAATCCATTAGAAGCAAAACCGTTCAAGTCAATTGCCATTCATCGGCGGAAAGCTTTGAAAGCCATACAATTATGGCACATCCTGTTCACGAACCACGAGGACAAAAAGTATCCTTGACAAGCCCATAAAAACCCCCGTCAAAGCTTGAGTGTTTTTCCCCCGAAAAGGGCCACTCGAAAGCACTCGCTCTCTGCCTTTGCTCTTACACTCCCCCATAAGAGAGCGGTGTGTGTGTGTGTTCGCTCTTTCACGTGCTCTTCGCTTTGGGGGCGTGTTTGTTTTCGCGTTTTTTACTCGCTTTCCAATTGCGTCTGTTGTTGTTATTTTTTGCTGTTTCCCCCACTCGAGTTTTAAGTGTTATTGGATGATTTTATGGAAATTGATTTGGGGCACGCCCCTTGTTCGGTGTATGGAGAGGGGGGAGGTTGGGTGCTTGCAAGTGCAGCAGCTGCTCGAATGGGGTTTTTCTGGGCCTATCTTAACCCCTTATTTAACATAATAACATTATCTCTACGAATACTCGTAGTCGTACTCTTACAGCCACTGGTACTCACCCGAAAGTTATGCGTGTGCTGGTCGACTGGGCAGTCAAGGCTCAGGGAATAATCCTCGACGACGGCTCCCAGGGACGACGCCTCGCCAAAGACCTGCTCGATCTTGATCGACGGACTGGTGAGCAGGGGCGTGTTGTTGGCGTTGTTGGCTCCACCGTTCGTGGCAACGGTGGCTGCTGCTGCAGCTGCGGCAGCGGCGGCTGCGGCGGCGGCGGCAAAGGTGCCCTCAACGATTAGTGGCTGCCCCTCGCCGCCACTCTGACAGGCACCGACGACTCCAACTGTTGGACCAACGTTGCAGGGCGTTGCTGGGGCGCAGGGTGTGCACGGTGTGGGCGTGGCCGGGCCCGGAGCATGTCCATCATGGTAGGGTGTCACCACGAACGAGGGATACGAGCGAAACTGATGGTAGTCAGTGTGATGGCCGTGGTGGCTGTGCCCGGCTGCTCCGTGATGGGAATGGGTATGGGTGTGTGGATGATGCGCCAACTGTGGTCCTTTGTACCAGGTACCATGCATAATCATTTAAGCAAGTTCGATTGCCGGTTGTGTGAGGCGATGCTCACTTTCCTATTAACTCGCTTCCACTCTTCTCCTGGCGTGTAATCAATATTCAATTTAGCTTTCCATTAGGTTTTGGTTTTGGACTTCGAGACTTTGGATATACGAGTCTTCGTATTCGTTTTCGTATTTAAACTGGAATTTTGCAATCACTGTGTTTGAGAAATTGGCTTGGAAATGGGGATACGGAGAAAGTCAATTGGTTAACCAGTGCAAACATTTGGCCCATGAAATAGTCTAAACTTGGCACAAGTTTTGGGAACTGAATGGGAAACCCCAAAGGAATACGGTCCTAATATGATTGTGTAACCTTAATGATTATGAAGACTTTATTTGAAGACTGACTTCGGCCCCATAAAGAGACTCTTTCTCAACAGACTTTCCATTTATGTATCCAAAGTTAGGAGACGCCCAAAAGACGCCATTACATACTGGAGTACAGGCCGAATTGCCTATCATGGATATGGTTTAACGATCTCTAAAGGCAGAAAGGCATTTAACATACTGACAAACTTTGCATAGACTTATAGAAATTCTGGTACAATCCCTAATCCGAATGGACTAACTCAGCAATCCCAGCTTTGTCGTAAAAGTAAATATCCGAAATTATCCACACTCGGAAAAGAGAGTTTCTAGCTAATGAGCGCTCAAAACTGCTTTCTTTTATATAATTCAGTCTATGATCTAAGCTGCAAGCATGATCCACCATATTTCCTTATTCCTATAATCTTAATCAATCTATTTCCATTGATTAACCATTTGACTTTCCTTACACCCACACTTTATATATTTCTCATAATTACCACTTGATAGGTGGACACTTGGAATGAAGAGAATATTCAATATTCATACACTTCCATTCACTTTACTCGCACTCTGACCCTTGTTCACAGTTGAACACTTTTTGGAACCCGTTTATGGCGGCTTTCAATGTATTGACACTTGGGTCTGGCTACCCTTTTTGAGGATTATTGCTCCTGACGTGTGGTGATAACAATTTTGAACTTCACTTTACTCGCTTTTTAATTGTGATACAGAAACAGCTGCACTCGCGGAATGACGAAAATGCATTGCACTTTGCGACAGAATTCTTCACGGATTCGCGGGGCAAAAACTGGCACTGTCACTAGCGTTGGGACTGAAACAGAAACAGGGACTGCAAACAGGGACTGCAAACAGGGAATGCAAACAGGCACTGGGACTGGGGCTGGCACCACGAGTAAGACTGCCACTGCAGTCGTTGAAGAGTGCACTTGGCTGAAACGCGCGCGCGAAAGTGGCTTGTGGACAGTGGCTAGTGGCCAGCAGTTTAGCTCAGTTGAGTTCAGTTCAGTTGTGTTCGGGCCAGGTCGTCCAGGCCGGGGCTTAATTTAGCTTAGCGGCAGGCAGAAGAAGACGGCTGGAAGGCGGCAGCAGAGGCGGCACAGCAGCAGGCACAAAAAGTTGCTGCCAGCTCGCAAGAATTCCGAACTCGAATGCTGAGTGCGGCCACGAAAAAAACATTCAAATGCCTCGCACGGTACGGCTCGCCGCCAAATCGCAGCGACGACGATAGCAGAAGCAGCAGGCAGCCCCACAGCTCTCGTTCTCTCTTTCTCTCAAATTCTCTCTGTCCCTCTTTTACCTGCTCTCTTGCCGTGACTGTAGTACACTCGCTCTCGCTCTCGCTCTGATGGGGGGCAGCAGCCAGTCTCGCGGCTCAGTCATGGGGCAGCTTTTGGGGCAGACGGCGACGCATGCGCAACAGCTTTTTACTCCTTCTGCAAACAAAAAACTAGTTCTGTCTCTCCCTCTCTGTTGGTCTCTCTTTCTCTTTTTCTCTCTCTCCATCTCTCTCTGCGTGTCTCTCTAAAAAATTGTTTGTGGTTTTTCGTGTGCTTCACTGCTTGGGTTTTTGTGCTGTGAGTCTCTTGAGCAAACTCTGATTTGATTTTGGCCTTTTTGCTTGAGTGGATTTCCTTTTCTCTTGACTTTGAGCATGAATGAGCATGTTCCGCGCTGTTTTTATGGCTAAATCTTTATGGCAAGGAGGCGTGGGCGTTATAATGACTAAAAATGAAAGTTCAATTGAGGAAAAATGACACCAAGATCATGAATTACAAAACATATTCATCAAGCACTCATTGAGTTTGTGATTTGCCTTTCGTGAAGTTCCAGTTCAGTCTTCCCCATTCCAACAAAAAAATTATGTGTACTAAATTTTGTTTGTGTTTTTGATATTTTCGTTAATTTTTCTCTAATTTGCGGTTTTGCCATTTTCCTAATTCCTAATGTCTGAAGATCAGCCAACTGCTGAAGGTTCACAACAGCTCCTGGAGGAACAGGTTCAACAGCCTTCAAATGCTGATACGAGGGGAGGTTCCGATGCTGATGTGCAGCCATCATCAACAGGCGGGAGTCTGGGACCATCCCAGACTGCCAGCAAGCAATACTTGGAAGATTCAAAACCAAAACCGCCGGAGAAGCAAAACCCAGATAAAGAGAAAGAGAAAAAGAAAAAGCCCAGTGACGGTGGAAACTATTGGGAACTTGGTCGAGGGATCATATTCTTTTGCGTTGGAAGCATCATCACCTACAATCTGACGGGCATTGTTCTGGATTAAAGAAACTATTTTGGATGCTACCTAAATTCGAGTGTAGATGTATTTACAGTATTTAAAGCAATCCAGCGAGGAACCATGAATACAAGCAAAGCTGTGCCAATGGGTCTCGCACGCCGCTCTCCTGTTGGATAGCGATAATACATATGTACCTATTTCCGCAGAATAGGATCGTTCCGGAAATTATCAGCGTTATACTCATTATGGGAACTGGCCCAAAGCGAATGACGAGGATACCAAAAACCTGCTTTCACATTCGTCATTTTTCTTAGCCTATTCAGCCAGGCACCCTTACAACTTTACCCAACAAGACGTTGAGCTACACCACTGACCATACAATCTGCAGAAACAAAACACACAGCATTCTTACACCAGTACTAATTCTGTATGACGATGCATTCTAGGATATCGCCAGTAGACATTGTATTTTTGTTTTAGTTTAGACTTTTTTTAACACTTCTAAACCGAATCAATCTTGATGTTCGCTATGTAAGAAATGGCAAAGTTAAATAGAAAAAATTCGACACCTACATCCCCTCTCAAGTCCATAATTTTCATAATTTTGAAGCAAAAAGCACACGAAAAAATCCGTCCGCATCCGTCGCCCATTAGCCCATTGACCAACTTCGATGGCGCATTGTACGCGTAGTAATGAGTTTTTAATACATGTAATATTCAAATTAAAAATCCACAAAAACTCCTCTAAAGACACCGCACAAAAACGGAATGCAATTTTTTTACAGCTTATAATCGCACACATATTCATTTCAACCGGCGGCAGCCCAAAGGCGGAAAAAAGCATATCACTCATACGCAATGTAAACCAAGCTCAAGAGCAAGCCACACAAAAACCAACAACGCGCTCTTAAAAAAACTCTCAAGCACAAAAAAGAGAGACAACAATAAAGAGAGAGCATGACTGAGAGGGAGAGAGAGAGTGAGGAATGAGGCATGTGCGAGCAGTGCGGCATTCAAGTGAAGGCGGTGGAATTTTTATTGGAGCACTTGGTTTATTTCTTTTTCTGGTGCTCGCCTTTGGATTGGCATTCTTTTTTCAACGTATTTTGTTTTTTTTTCTGGTTTATTTCCCTTTTGACAAGGCATTTTTTATGGGCACAGACATGTGTCGCTGGCGGGTGGGAATCGGCCATTGCCTGGAGGGAGATTTTTCCCGATTTTTCGGCCTGCTTCGGTTCTGTGACAACTGCAACTGTCATTCCCTGGGGTGCACCAGAGCCAGTCGTAATACATAAAATTAAACTGCAGCTCCTGCGGCCATAGGAAGGCCATTTATTTCAGTTAATCAATGCAATTGGCTCGTCGTTCACCTGGGCCTCAGAATACCCTTAGGTCTGAATGGAGTATGTCAAATATGCTGTAGGCTTGCCCTTACAATGTGTAGCCTTCTCCAATTTTGAATTACTAGGAAATTGCTTCATTTAGCGCTCTGTTTTGCCATGGTCTGCCGCCGGGCTGTGCCCCATTGGCACTACTACCGCCACTGCAATGGCACATCAAGTGAATGTCCTCCAGTTTCCCTTGCAGCTTATTGACTAATTTGATTATGCCACCTAATTGCCACCCACCGCTGCAATTACCTATTTTTTATGGCTAGTCATTTGGCTGGATTTTTCCTGTTTTGTATGTGCTTTCGTGCGGGTTTTCATTTAGTTGAGTGCCATACAAATTTCCTTGTTTGCACTGTCATCAATGCCATTTGGTATTTGCCTACGAGCAGATATTCGAGGTGATACAAATCTGATAAGAGGAAGCCATGAATGCGGGTTTTATTAATTCAATAGATTTATTGTAGAACTCTCTTTCCTTTTCCCTTGGTGGTAATAACCCACGAAACTTCAACGAATGGGATACTAATTTTGAATAATTTATTGTCTTTTACCTGATCATCTAAGTTAAGCAAGGAATCATTACATTTCTTACGGATTTTGTGTGGGTTAAATTGTACTAGCTTTAGGCAAAATTTCCCATTACACTATAGCATTTAGTCCTTTCAATATTCTGAAATAATGTTTTAAATGTTGTATTGCTAAATCTGTGTTTTGTTAAAGATTCCTCACCTTTTAAAGTATTTCAGTGTAATTTTTACTTGAAAATTCCAAATTAGCTCCCACATTAACGGCTTTCAGTAAAAAATATAAAAAGTGTCCATATTCTATTCATAAGGACCTAAAATCTTAAAATTCTTTACCCAAAAGTAATAAATTTGACTCCAGCAAACACTGAGACACTAAAACTTCCATTTAAATGCAAAATGTATCAGTTGCAACCGCAATGGCATGCAAAATCCTACTCCAGTTGCATGATGGGATATTTATTTCTCGCCTCAAACCGCTGCCGGACAGATAAGTGATGTTGCTGCAGATGCCGTGGCGGTTGCAGATGCAACTGTGCGGCGCCATGGACTTCATTGCCTCCGAGCGAAATGTCAAAATGCCAGCCGCAGTGAGAAGCCAAAGCCAAAACCAAGCCAGGCCGAGAGCAGCCGTCATGGTTGGTCATG